TGAAGCTGACGAGATGTATGTTGTTTGGAACGAGGGTGGTACGCACGGCATAGATGGCCCACAGCGGCTCACGACGAGCATAGCTAGCTTTGATAGCTAGCTGCTAGCGGGGAGCCTTTCGTTGTGCAATTCAATTTTGAAATCTGTGTTAAGGAAAGCGCTGTTTGCAGGCAATCGGTGATCATTTTATTATCATAGCAACACTTTCACATGCGTGCAATTTGCAATAGTGACATTTTGAAAAATGATAAACCGGACACCACCACACACGGTGATTCAATAAGCTTCGTTCAGTGAGACCGGACGGAATTTAATTTTGAAATCTGTGTTAGGGAAAGCGCTGTTTGCAGGCAATCGGTGATAATTTTGATCTCCATTGCAACAGTTGGACATTTGTGTAATTATCAATAGTGATCTATTAAAAATTTATAAAGAGATCATTTAAGCGGATTCGTTGAAAAATGTCCTATTGATTTGCGTATTAAGAATTATAATCCATCATCTCTAGATCAAAATCAGACCACATTCATGCTGCGACCGACTTTGGATTTTGAAATTACACCCCCAATGTTGCCTTAAAAATACATCGTATGTTAGATTTATACATATGGGAACTGACACCCGATAGATGACCTTGACAAATGTCCAAAAAAAATACTATTTATCAAATTTATGGTGGTCCTGAAAAGAAACCGTTTTGTCGTGATGGTTGAGTAATGCTGAGCTATTAGGGTGTTCAATACGGATAATACGGATAAGGCTGGTGAGCTGTATGTTGTTTGGAACGAGGGTAACGCGCTTGGCATAAATGACCCGCAGCGACTCAAGAAGAGCTACTGATTCCGATCCATAGCGGTGTGGCTTCTTCCTCCTTCTATGGATGCTCATGCGGGCTCTGCAGCTCGCTGCTTGCAGGTAGCCTTTCGTTGCGTACTGGAGAACAATGTTCAACGCCACACGCCGTAAGCACTGCTGCTGCTGATACCGACGACCGGACACCACCACACACGGTGATTTAATGAATCCGATTTTTAAATCTGTGTTAGGGAAAGTGCTTTTTGCAGGCAATCATAATCGGTCATAATTTTGATCACTTTTGCAACAGTTGGACATTTGTGTAATTTTCAATAGTGACCTATTGAAAATTAATAGAGTGCTCAATTTAACAGATTTGTAGCAAAATTTCTAATTGATTGGCTTGTTTAGAATTAATATCCATCCGCTATTGACAGAGTTATAAGTGGTCAAATCCTGACCACTTTTCGTAACGCGGTCGATTTTGCTTTTTTGAAATTGCGACCCCTATATGTTGCCGAAAGACGTAATCCTACGTAAAAAAAACATCAAAAAATCCTGGGGGCCCTATATAATTCTGGAGGAGGCCTGGTCGCCTTGGCACCCCCTTTAGCTACGCCAATGTGGAATGGGATGAGGACATCGTAAAAGTGAAAGAGTCAGGGAGAGGAGTGCCAAACTGAGAGTTCACCATCTGATGATGATGATGATGATATGGAACTATCACTTTTTTTTTTTTTATCTAGTTCGTTTATTTGGAAGGCTCAATCGCGTTAGCTTTACGGAGCCGATAATTCATTGTTCACTGTGTGTAACAAGATTCACTTAATTCTATGTCTAGTAGGAGTTGGCCCGATTACTCGCGGCTTACTCGAGGTTAGAAGGGTACATTTTCGAAGGATAGGATCAGGGGAGGAGCTTGGGGTAGGGTTTCGTTGTCTCATCAGAGCGTTGTCGCCAGTATGAACGGTAGTGCTGTTCTAACTTCGTCCGGAGTTCGACCGGCTATGGTGGGTGACCAGTGGGCGACGATGAGACTCATCGAGACGGGGGGACAAGACAAACAAAAACTAATAAAGAGAGACAAAAGACAAAAGGAATTAAATTCTTATACTAGACATTTGAAGAAAGACATAAACGGACTGCATATAGCAGAGATCACGGGTTGCCAACACGTCTCTGATAGGAACATAGGGTTGTCTTCCTTGGGCCTCGAGGGTATTCAAAAGTCGCTCTCTGGCGGCGTCATTATCCGTACATTGCCAAACTGCGTGTTCGATGTCATCGTAACCGTTTCCACACCGACAGATGTTGCTGTCCACGAGGTTTATTCTATTGAGATGAGCATCTAGCGAGTAGTGGTTGGACATAAGTCTACTCATCACGCGAATGAAGTCACGACTTAAGCCCAAGCCTTTAAACCACGCTCTCGAAGAAACATTAGGAATAATTGAATGTAACCACCGTCCAAGATTTCCAGTGTCCCAATCGGTTTGCCAACTCGAAAAGGTACTCTGACGCACTAAATGGTAAAATTCATCGTGTGAAATTTGCCTGTCATACAATTCGCCTTCCTGCGCGCCCACCTTTGCGAGAGAGTCCGCCTTCTCATTGCCTGGGATTGAGCAATGTGAGGGGACCCATACAAAGGTAATCATATATGATCTTTCGACCAGTACACTCATCTGCTCCCTTACCTTTGAAAGGAAATAAGATGAGTGCCTACTTGGTAACTATCACTTAATGTAGCAAAACAATTCAAGACTAACAACTGAAAAGGTCTAAGGCTCTTTTCTCGCGAACCGAAACTTACAATCTCAAACCTAAAACACAATCGTGTATAGGAGATTTTCCCCTACCTGTTCATTTTGTTGGTTTGCGTTGGCGGACTTCGGTTCGCGACAAAATGGCCTTACAAGGTTTGCTTGCAAAATAGGTCTTTTCAATTGTTGGTCTTGAATTGCCGGTAGACTGTGGACTATCTCTAATTGTACTAAACCTGCCATTGCATGAAGGGCCAAAAATTGTTTATCCACGGGATAAAAGTGAATCTCCTTCCAACAACAGGATCATACAACCTGTCAAAAACAGGCCATCCAATAGCAGGATGCCCCAATGAATATGGATAATAGCCCGCCCTCTTTTATGAGAGTTCACCATCTATACAAAAATCCTTTTAATTGCAGTATCGTCAATTTTCGAGTTGAAACTAAGCCTTAATTTGTTCCGTTTTCAGTAATTTGTTTAGATAAATATGCAGATGGAAGATACATTTTACATATTACGTATAATCTTCGAGTGTTTACACATGCAAAATGCTGTAAATATATATATTTATAACTTCCGTCATATACGTCATGAAAGGCTGGTTGATGTGCCTCATCAAAGACGACTTGATCAAAGTCGAGCGCTCTTTGATTCTCCCGCTTCACCGAAGCTTGAAAGAAGCACAAAAGATGGGAGAAAGAGAGACACCGACTGAGGTGCTCGAATGATGCGAAGCTGCTCGACTTCCACAGAAAAAAGAAAATTTGCAGTCTCTGGTGTTCATCAACCCGTAAAAGCCCGGGACTTTTTTTTAAATATCATCGCGGTGAGTGGTTCTTACATCTGTTCTCCCCCCAGGCACCCCCCTTTTTGTTATATATATTCAAGAATATCAATGCGACAATATATTGATTTTTACCTCAGCATCGGTTTCGGATGCTCCGGATTATGGATCCATATGGTCAAATCTATTGTCTATCATAACCGTAAGTGGGATCGTTTGAAATCAAGATTTACTAGAAAAACTATGCATGATCCAAAAAAAAAATAATCCAACCTGCTCTTGCGTGATATTTATTGAAGACGAAATGAAATGCATTCCGGAAAACCATTGCTATTACAGCGTCCTAAATGATGGTCATACCCAAACTGTTTTAACCACTGCTGCTCTGAAACTATCCTACCTTCGTCAGGTAGCCGGTAAAATTCATCTTCCAATATCTTGCCAGTTCCAGCAGAAAGCGGTCATTTTCATTACATAACAAAAGCCTAATGAGATGTAATGACAAAGTGGAAGATGCACAGCACACCTGATGCAAACGCTAATTTCAAACGTTCAATCAGGGCTAAGCATGATTAATGTGTGCGTCAAGCTGAGCCATTTGATTTCGTGTCAGCTAATCATCTTTATATCATTAAAATGTATGTTTCGTGTTAATTTGGCAGGCGAAAATGCAAAAAAATGCGGTGAATTATTGCGTCAAGCTTGCCTTAAAGTGGGCTTTCTCGAGATATTACTGAACACACATAAAAAAAAAAGATTCAACAAATCCTACAAACGACGCTCTAATCTGGCTAAAGCCCTCGTGCTCAACTCGTGCATAAAAGCAAACGAGTCCTTTGAGAATGCACGGTCCCAGTTCTGTTAAAAGGAGTGCAGAAAAGCGAAACGTCCAACCATAAAAAGCACTTTGACCATCTGGTTTTTTTTCAGCTTTATTTCCTCCGTGCATTCTTCATACCTATCTACCGGCTCCATAAGTCATCCTCTCGAAAATCACCCAAAAGCTCATACCGAAAGAAGGGCAATTATGTGCTTCATCCGCTCCCCCTAGGCTGATGATAAAAGCAAGAATAACGACTTAACTAATGTGTGGAGCTGCAACTCGAGGAAGGAGTCGGAGGGGGATGAAAATGCCACACCTGGGAATTATTAAATTTAATTCCGTGACACATGATCACAGGTTTTTTTTCCCTCTAACCGCACAATTCTGTCTGGTCTGTGGACGACATCTCCTTGAGTCAGGAAGGATTCAATTTTCGGCGACCTCAGCCACCAGAAGAATGGCGGAAGGGAAGGAAACGAATGGGATTGGCAAATTTACATATTTAATTGCCTGCAATTTGCATACTTTTGCCCTCCCACTTTTGACACCTTGTGTTCAAATAACTGGACCGAGAGGAAGCGAATCGAATCCATTTTCGATCCGACAGAAGCCGTCACCTGTGCGCACCGTTTTCATCCTGTGCAGCGTTAATTGCTGCTCTTCCCATCTATCCGTTTGTGTGAAAGGATTTTGTTTTGCCGCAATAACCTGCCTGGAATTGATTGCATTTTTAACGACATAGATTTGAATTTCAAATTCAAGAATGTCGCTTGCAGTGTTCAATCTAGAAAATAACGCATTCAAGAACAGGAAAAAAAATGGTGTACTTACATTAAAAACTAAGTATTGTACTAAAACTCCCAGCGCTTCCACGCCCCGGTTGGCATGATTGAGCAAACTAATATCGACTAAATTGTTGTTGCGGAGCGATTCCACATTGTTTCCACCGCCGCCGCCACCGACGACGACGACGGGTGCCAATGTCGTCTCGTTGCCAATCTTCTGTTTCGGCTGCTGTCCCCCGCTGACGACCGCCGGAGCCAGTCCGGTGCAGCGAGCATCTCCTCCCAAGATCAGAGGAGAGCTCGTCTTTTCCAGGATAATGGTACCATTGCGTTGAATGTTGGCAGCATTCTTCAGTGACGTCCCATTGCTGGTGATGCTGTTGTTATTGTTGTTGTTGTTTTTCGGACAGGATGGCGTCGTGGTGGTCGTTGTGGGTGGTGCTACTGCCGGGAGGGAACGGATCAAGGTCTTCGTTTGCGATTTCGGGGAATTTGTTCCGGACTGCTGTTTGGCATTCGGCGTTGGGCCAACTAAGCGGTTGTGATCTGGAAAATTGAAAAAAAAGAGTAAACGGAGTTACAGAATGATTCTCATGGATTTAAAATTAATTTAAAATAGAACAGTCGTAAACAATTCGTAGCGGAAATATACACCTGTTTCAACTGCAAACACCGGACGAAAACAAACTCTGACGCAAAACGTCTAAATATCTTCGAGCTAATTTAAATTTCGGCTGAAGCTGATTTGCACTTTCCAAATAAACAATTTCAGAATAGGGTTACTAATTTCAGAAAATTCAGATTCCAATCGTTGACCAGCAGGGGATGGATCATTTCATTCACAATTTTCGCTACATCCACAAGTATCTTTTCTCCCAGCAACACCAAACTTGATAAATTTTGTTTTAATTCCGCCGGGAGTGTTCATTCAACTTTTTCCAGCTCGTTAAATTTTATTGGGCGCAGTAGCACCGTACGCGAAGAAATGAAATCAACAACAACAACAAATTCCGCGTCGAAAATCTTACGCTACATCGCCACCAACCGCGAAATGCGAGCAACCGGCCGGTCGCTGGTGAAGCCGTCTTGACCAGTCGGCAGCACATGTCCGGCCGTAAATATTAAATTTCATGTACCTTTTCCGTTTTCGGGTGGAAATGGACTAAATGGAATAAACATTCCATACGGGCTGCAAATTATGGAAATTTTCGCGCTCATTTCTACTGTACGAATTCATTGAGAACATCTCCTTGAGTTTCTTCTAGATTTCTAGGTGGACTTTGGGTGGTACGGAATGGCAGGGATAGAGAACTGCGACAGCACAGACGTTTGCTTGTCAAAAACAAAAGAGATGTGCGTTGTGCTATTAGGTAGGACCCAGTGTTTATAAATATATGCGCACATACGGAATGTGCCTGAATTCTAAAATTTTACAATTTCCATCAATTGGGTGAAATACAATATCCTGCCACATTAAGGAACTATCATCCCAAACTTTGTTTTTGTTTACATCAATTTTGAAGCTGTTTATATAGTAATATGCCTTTCGATGAACTGCATACGGATTTATTTGCGCTCTCTTAATTTAAAAAAAGAAAAATGTGTGCTGTGCGCGCGCTTTCAGACGATCCATGCGGAGAGGTTAATCTTTCCGACCACAGCCAAAACACAAATTTCGCCATGCCATTCACTCAAAGAAGCAATAAGCAATTTTTGCACAGTGCTTTCAATTGCATAATGAAAAAAAAGGTCAAGCTGTGTGCCCATATCAGCATTGACCGCCCAAATTTAACTGCTAAAGTGTACTAGTCCTATTGAGAATCAAGTTGCTCGGGATTATCGGAATATTTTCTCTCGGGTAATATTTTTGATGATTCTGACTGGGGACTGATTTGGACGAAGTAAGATCTATAACTAAGACATTACAAAATATGAAAGCTCAAAGTAATGATGGAATTTTCTATATCCTCATCAAAAAACTCCCAGAGAGTACCTTGTCTTTCTTGGTAAAATTATTTAACAGATGTTTCCATTTGGCATACTTTCCTGATAAATGGAAAAATGCAAAAGTTGTTCCAATTTTGAAGCCGGATAAAAATCCAGCTTCTAGCTACCGCCCAATAAGTTTGCTTTCTTCAATAAGTAAACTTTTTGAAAAGATAATTTTGAATAGAATGATGCTTCACATCAATACGAACTCAATTTTTGAAGATGAGCAGTTTGGATTTCGCCATGGGCATTCAACTACTCATCAACTCTTAAGAGTTACCAATTTAATTCGTTCAAAAAAATCTGAAGGCCACTCAACTGGAATTGCTCTTCTAGACATAGAAAAAGCATTCGACAGTGTTTGGCATGAAGGTTTGATTGCTAAATTGAAAAAGTTGAATTTTCCACTTTATATTATGAAATTAGTTCAAAATTATTTAACTGACAGAACTCTGCAGGTAAATTATCAAAATTCCAAATCTAATCGACTACCTGTTAGAGCAGGAGATCCTCAGGGTAGCATTCTTGGGCCTATATTGGAAAACATTTTCACTTCCGGTCTCCCTGATTTACCTCAGGGTTGCCACAAATCTTTGTTCGCTGATGACACAGGCATTTTCGCTAAAGGAAGAAGTCTTCGTGTTATTTGCAGCAGACTGCAGAAAAGTTTAGATATTTTCTCTTCTTATTTACAAAAATGGAAGATTTCTCCCAATGCTTCCAAAACTCAACTTATAATATTTCCACATAAGTCTAGAGCTTCGTTTTTGCTACCTAGTAGTCTTACATAGTCACTATGAACGGAGTTCCAATTTACTGGTCAAACCAAGTGAAATATCTTGGATTAACTTTTAAAGATCACATTGAGGGCATTCAAGCCAAATGCAACAAAAATATATAAAATGTTTGTATCCTCTTATAATAGAAAAATCAAACTTAGTATGAATAATAAACTTCTAATATTTTAACAAGCTTTAAGACCGACCAGGCCGGTTTTTAGACTAGGCTAACATGAAATGTAACAAATAAAGAGTTAAAAAAATCTGCTAAAGTTGGTTTGGAATTTTAACGCCAAAATTAACTAATTATTATTATTTTTTTAACAGGCCGCTTATTGAATAAATCCTTAAATTAACCTAATTTTGAAAATGAAAATAAGTACTTTAATTATTAATAATAAAGTTCCAAACATGTTCACCCATCTTTTGAAAACTTAATTATGTAAGTTATGGTAAAACAACTTTGGAAATCAAAGTGCCCCTGACATCACAAATCTTAATGATACAGAACTATGACAGACATGTGGTTTTCAACTAAAGCTTATTTAGGTTAACTGAAGTTCAGTTTATCTTCACCTGTGCTCAATAAAAATTCTATAAAATAACACTCGTTGGAATGTCATTTTGATTATTTCATTGTAGGGGAAATGGCTCTAATGTTGGTCTATGGATCTAAGATTGGGCCCATCGCTACAAATCTGCTATTTATCAATTTTATCTAAATGAACGCGTCATTGGGACGGTACTAATGGATAGTTTTGGTCGCTATTGAAAATTCATATTCTTGTTTTCGTTCGAACCGTTCGAGCCATATAAAAAATATGATTTTGTATAGTTCGAAGGGCTCGAATGAAGACAATAATGTGGGTGATTGACACAGATATTTGTACTTTGTTTAGTCACCATTTCCCAAGTAACGGAAAATAATAGAAAGTTGAAGATATACACATCATAATTCCAGTTGGAACGTAATAATAAAATTCGGAACTTGTATGCATTTGAACAACTTTTCCAAAGACAGCAACCTTCTATGATGCATCATGGTATGTACATAAGCACCGACAGATAGGAGAATTCTGATCTGAATTTTCCATTAAACAATAGGTCTTATCCATCTGAATAACTTTCCTATCGACAGCAACCTCATATCTCGTTTTTTTACTTATCCTGGTCCGACATCCCTCAGGATTGCACCTGCATCACAATGTTACGCCAATTCACTCGGTCCGTGGCTGCTTGTCTCCAATTTCTTGACTGTCCCATACTTCCAAGATCCTGCTCCACTTGGTCTAACCACCTTGCTCGCTGTGCTCCTCTTCGTCTTGTACCGGCCGGATTCGAGGCAAACACCATTTTTTCGGGATTGTTGTCCGGCATTCTTAAAACGTGTCCCGCCCATCGTACCCGTCCAGCTTTCGCAACTTTTTAGATACTGGGTTCGCCATAGGGTTGCACCAGCTCGTGGTTCATCCTTCGCCCCCATACACCGTTCTCACATACCCCGCCAAAGATGGTCCTAAGCACTACCGGTCTTATCAGCGGGGTGGAGTTTACCCGACCTCAGGGTCTTGTGGAGTCCGTAGTAAGCACAACTTCCTGCAATAATACGCCGACGAATTTCTCTACTGCAGTTGTCATCCGACGTCACCAATGATCCGAGGTACATAAGTTCATCCACCACCTCGAACTCATCTCCGTCGATTGTCACGCTTCTGCCTATGCGAGCCCAATCCCGCTCAGTTCCTCCAGCTAACAGATACTTTGTCTTCGACGTATTCACCTTTAATCCTTGTCTGCTTCACGTTTCAGTCTGGTGTACTGCTCCGCCACGGCCTGAAACGTTCTGCCGACAATGTCCACGTCGTCAGCGAAGCAGATGAACTGGCTGGACTTATTGAAGATCGTGCCCCGCATGTTGAAGCCCGCATGTTTCATAACACCTTCTAGCGCAATGTTGAACAGGAGACAGGAAAGACCATCGCCTTGTCGAAGTCCTTTGCGAGTTTCAAACGAGTCCGATAACGCACCCGATATCTTCACGCAGTACTGTACACCATCCATCGTAGCCCGGGAAAACCGTTCTCGTCCATAATCTTCCACAGCTCTTCACGGTCAATAGTATCATAAGCGGCCTTGAAATCGATGAATACGTGGTGCGTAGGGCTTGATATTCATAAAGATTTGGTCCGTTGTCGATCGCCTGTCCACAAAACCGGCTTGATAACTTCCCAAAAATCTGCTTGCTAGCGGCGATAAACGGCGAAAGATGATCTAGGAAAGCACTTTGTAGGACGCGTTAAAAATAGTGATCGCTCGATAGTTCTCACATTCTAGTTTGTCGCCTTTTTTATATACTGGGCATATTACTCCCTCCTTCTACTTCTAAGGTAGCTGTTCTGTATCCCAGATCTTGACTATCAGTCGGTGCAAACATGTGGCCAACTTATCCGGGCCCATTTTGATTAGTTCCGCTCCGATACCATCTTTCCCAGCTGCTTTGTTGTTCTTAAGACTTTCGGATAGCATCCTTAACTTCACCTATCGTGGGAGCTGGCATGTCCCCCTCAATCGCTATACCGACGAAGCCATTCCTGCTGTGCTGCTTCCACCTTTCAATCACCTCACGTTCGTCCGTTAAGATACCCCCTTGCTTATCCCGACACATTTCGGCTCGCGGCACAAAGCCTTGGCGGGATGCGTTTAATTTCTTGTAGTACTTGCGTGTTTCTTGAGAACGATACAGCTGCTTTCCCAAGCAACACGGCTTGTCATAAAGAA